CAGCATATCTGTGATTGGAAAAGTTTAAAACAGGATGGAATACTGTAGTACTGAAACTACCAACTCATACAAAAGTTTGTAACTACTTATTGTTGAATCTAAAATAACAGCAGTGTTCCCTAGGTTCTTGTGTTGTAAGACTCCAATATCTGAACTTCTCATTCCAATTTATAAACAGTTACAATGCTAAAGGATTTTAATTTTCTGATGGGTATTTCAAGAGAATTATGATTGGATTTCTGTAGGTTTTTGTATGCTTGCTGTCTAAGAAAGTGTATAAATACTTTGGGGATTAAATACTGCCTATTTGTGTAGGAGAGAACCAAAAGGAAGATTAATCCCTAGTAGGTAAGTGGATATGAAGTATGCTTGAGGATGTCCTCCTCCTTGAAAGCAGATCATGCATCTTCAAATACTTTTAAAATAAAATAATTTCTGACAGAACTACAGTTTCCCACACCACAGGAAATAAAATGTGGAGAGGGAAGAGATATATAGATATTGTAAAACCTACAGTCTGAGCAAGGGAGACATCTTTTCTTTGGTAACAGTGAGGAACAGGAATCATACAATGGTTTGAGTCAGAAAGGACCTTAAAGATCATCCAGTTCCAACTCCCCTGCCATGGGCAGGGACACCATCCACTAGACCAGGTTGCTCAGAGCTCCATCCAACCTGGCCTTGAACACTTGCAACTTCTCTGGGCAACCTGTTCCAGTGCTTCACCCCCCTCACAGTAAAGAATTTCTTCCTGATATCTAATCTAAACCTACTCTCTTTCAGTTTGAAGCCATTCCCCTGTCACTACATGCTCTTGAAAAAAGCTCCTCATGTCCTTTTTGTGGGCTCCCTTCAGGTACTGGAATGCTGCAATTAGGTCACTCCAAAGCCTTCTCTTTTCCATACTGAACAAACCAAATTCTCCCAGCCTTTCCTCACAGGAGAGGTGCTCTCTAATAATCTTTTGGCCCTCCTCTGGACTTGCTCCAACAGGTCAATGTCCTTCCTGTGCTGAGGGCCCCACAGTTGGATGCAGTGCTCAAGGTGGAGTCTTACCAGAGTGGAGTAGAGGGGTAGAATCACTTCCTCTGACCTGCTGCCCCAACTGCTTTGGATGCAGCCCAGGATACAATTGGCTTTCTGGGCTGCAAGTGCACACTGCCAGGTCATGTCCAGCCTCTCATCCACCATCACCCCCAAGTCCTTCTCAGCAGGGCTGCTCTCTATCCCTTAATCCCTCAGCCTGGATTGATATCAGAGGTTGTCCTGATCCAAGTGCAGGACCTTGTGTTTGGTTTTATTAAACATCATGAGATTCCCACAGGCAGTTCTCAAGCTTGTCCAGGTCTCCCTCTCAATGGTATCTTGTCCTTCAAGTGTGTCAACACCACCACTCAGCTTTGTGTCATCTGTAAATTTGCTGAGGATGCAATCCCTTCATCTATGTCATTAATGAAGATATTAAATAACACTGATCTGAATACGGAACCTTGAGGGACACCACTTGTCACCGATGTCCACTGGTACTCTGAGCCTTTGATCACTACCCTCTGGATGGGACTGTTCAACCACTTTCTTATCCATCCAGCAGTTCACTCATGAAATCCTTCTCTCTGCAGTTTGGAGAGAAGGATGTTGGGGGGCATCCATGTCAAAGGCTTTGCAGAAATCCAGATAAATGACACATGTAATCCTTCCCTTGACCACTGACGTATTTACTCTGTCATAGAAGTCAAATTCCACTCTCACTTGCAATTCTGTGCCCCCTCAAGGCTACTAAAACCCCTCAGACCATAAGAGCACAGCATTAAGTACAGCAAGCAAAAATTCCTTCCACCTAACTATTTTGGTCTGTGAAGGCCTTGAATTGCAGCCATGCTAACCATCTGAGCTGTACTGAAAGCAGGACAGGGAATCTGCTCTTGAAATACATGAAAAGAAATTTGCTGTGTAACTGAGTGCTGGCAGGCTTGAGCTGCATTGCCTTTGCTGGTAAGACTCATTTATCTTTACGGGTTATCTGCTAGAACTGCACCCGAGTACACTTTGCTAATTTTCTCTGCTGGGAAAAATAACACAGTTCTTGGAATCCAAACACAGAATTATTTTCACTCATTTATTTGTCTCCAGCTTGTAATTTACCCATCTAATTACAGCAATAATTAAGCTGGAGAATTTAATATAAGTGTTTCCACAGGTACCCACTGAAATTGTACCAGAGGTTACGGAGGGAATCAACATCTTTAATAATGAACTTTCTGTGTTATATAGCCAAATCTTACGCCCAAAAGGTAACATATTGGAAATTCTCTCCCATACTTTTATGGAAGCTGTCTGCTTTCCCAGACAACTTCCATGCTCTGCAGGCTCTACAACACAATCTGTGTCTTATCTTCGCACTGAATTCACTGTGTATTCACAAAAAAAATGCATAAATGGGATTTATCTTTCCAGGATTGGCTTGGATTTCAGCATAAGAAATCTGGTAACTCTACAATTATTCAGAAAGTCTACAGATTCTATATTTTCTGTACAGATTTATATTTTACTTATCTCTGGTTAAGTAGAACCATTGATGCCAGTAGCAGGAAGTGGGATTTTGAATTTACTTTGTTGCTAAGACTAAAATAACACAAGACAATGAATTAACCGTAACTACTTATATCAGGAAAGTGTATGGAGTGTTTATAGCATAACAGAAACATGTCATTAAAAGAAACACTGACATAAAATAGAAATGAAGAAACTACAGGAGAGCATTTCAACTGAATACAAAGGAAAGAAAAACAGAAATGAAAGGCAATTTTTTCTCCTTTTTAGCCTGCTGGCTAAAACGAATCATCTTGAACCTCCCCCCTCAGATATCCAACCAAAATTCTCATGATATATTATGCCATATTTAAGAGAACCTGACTGAGCAAAAATATAGTAGCCTACATTAAAAAAAATAAAATGAAACATACTATTATGAGAAGACAGAGGTGAAGGACTTGTGTATACTAGAACAGTTCAGAAAGAAGCTTGCTATATATTCCTGCACTGAATATATTGTTCTTTTACTGTACACATTCCCTGGGTGGTGAATAACAGAAAATCAGCATCTAATACATTCATCTTCCTAGCTTCAAATCTCAGTATGTTTTTTCATATTCCTCATTTCTTTTTTTCCAAAGGAATTCAAGGTTAGAAAATGCAACCGCTATGGATACAGTTTTACTTCAAAAGTGTAAAGCAAAAGTAGAATTTTCAAAGTGCAGAAAACAAAGGAATGTTGGATTTTATAGGTTGTCCTCGCTGATGAGCTTTCCCTGGGACTGGGCCGAGCAGCGCATTCAGCGAGATCACAGCGCTCTCTAGTGCCTTTAGTAAGCACATGGCACAAAGTTTATTTTCTTAAATAAGGCAACATACTAAAATACCACAACTGGTTTGAAAAATATGTAGAATAAAGTGACTGTGTCAATTTGATTATCAGTTCGTAACAGGATTATTTTTCCTACCCCTGTCTAATTTATCTACTAAGAAGAAACCCAAACACATGAAGTACATACACATATGCATAAGTAGTACTTGCCATCCAAAAAAAAGTGGAAGAATAAGGTGGATTCTTTGTCTACAGCATCAAAAATACCGCTGAAATATTACACTGTCTCAAAAACATTGACAATATTTAACAGAATGCAAAAATGAGAAATAACAGAACAAATTTCAAATACAATTTTAGGAATGCAGGGAGAGCCATTCAAAAAGCTTTATCAGAAATGCTGGGTTTATAAATTAGAGAATCACCTATTGAAGATTATGACATATCAAGATACTGTTTTCATAGTCTTTCTTACAATCTTCATAGCACTTTCAAGTGAAGCAAACATGTAAAATATCACAAAATCCAGAATAATTACCAAGGTCAGCTCATTATCTGTGACTCAGAGGTAGATAAAAGAAAATCCAGCAAGGAATAAGCTCTTGATGGAATATTAATATCTTCTTTGAACATGCTGGCTTTTGAAATACTGTACTTCTTTGACTGCTATGAAATTTTGGTTCTCCTGACAAGAACTTTTTTAAAGAATGTTAAAATACACAATACTTTTCCACATGACCAGAACATATATTCTTATGTTTGATTAGGTAGTCAGTATTTTAAAAGTATACTTATACACCTTTCCAAAAAGATATTTTTCCTCTGATGCAAATCAGCTTTTCATAACCCCACCTTTAGAACTGATTACTATCACTTTAAAATATACATATATATCAGTTTGGTTTATCAAAATGGACCTTAAGAATCTAGCTGGATCTATAACATGTAGGTTTAGGCCTATAAAACAAAGTTTATCCCACCTGCAGTTGAAATTCCAATACATTACATATTTAGGTGAGTATGTTTATGGTTCTATACATCTTGCAACTTGTATTTATAAGTGATTTGGAGGACTGCCACATAAGATCTCGGAAAGTAGTTTATGATATTGAAATTGCAGTGCATCTCTTTTCCCAGCAAAAGGTAGTTTTTATGTGAAATATTGAACAGTGAGGGACAGGTCAAAGTGTTCCCCAATTCTCTAACATAGAGATCAGCAGTTCTGAGAAGCCTCTGTAGTCATACTGTAAAGCTTGGGCTGTGGTTTTCACATGCCACTTATGTAACTTACATTCATGTAAAAGTCAATGTTTTTACATAGATGTTGTAGGCCTCCTTTAGTTCCCCAAGTGCCTTTTGGTTCATATGGGTCATCCCGTGTTTCTGTAATTTCCAATTTTTTTTTCCCTACAGCATTTTCACACATTTTAGGTTGCACCTACCTGTGCAGAACTACTACTAAACTTGCACTGTCAGGTTAAGATGATGTTATCTCTTCTGATCATATTCATTATTACAAAGTAAAAGGCTTCATACGGTATTATAAAATTATGTTGTACTTTACATACATGATTTATGCTGTTTATCATTCTGTAATGACTCTCACTGTATATTATACAAGACTAATTGTACTTACTTTTGAGATCTAAATTTCTGGCTCCTGCTGTGCTCTGTGTCGTGATTTTAGTGTCAATCTTTACAGTGTGGAGATTGTTAGTATCCCTTGATATCATCACATTATGCCACTGGTTGTCATTCAGAGGTTTATTAGAACTTCCTTTGATGAGATTCGCACCATTTCCCAAGTCAAACACATAGTGCAAATACCTGGGAAAAGAGAAAAAATTGGAAAAGTTTCCTTTTTCTTTACATAGCAAGGGGGCACTAAATAATATGTCTAATATTTTATATTTGCTTGTACTCCTCAGTAGTGCTGGTAAAACCAGAAGACAACAATGAATGCCAGATGGGGAAGCAACCATCATTCAGAGAATTTGCCACTGGTTTAGATGAGTTGAGGTGCAGTCCCAAGTTTCTGGAAAGTAATGAGCACTCCATGTACCAACACATGCATACATACGTAGAGAGAGAACAAGAGGAAGCTACAAACTAGTACTTCTTTGTGGTAAACACGAGAGAAGTTATACCTATTATTTACTGTCATATATTTCAGGCATCTAGCTTCATCTGAAAGAAAGAGTCAAAATAAAGCATATCAAGTTTAACATGAAGAAACATTTATGAATCATATATATCCAGTCAGATAAAGATCTGTATCCTAAACTTTCCCTTCTATTTCTCCTGTATATACGTTTTGAATAGACTGGCTTTGTCATGCTGATCCATACATACCCTTTAACTAATTCAACCACAATGAAATCATTTCCATCGCCACTGTTATAAAGTATCAATCCATCCAGAGAGGTGGTTTTGAACTGGAAAAAAAGGTGCATAGATGTATACGCTTGTAGCGTGGCCAGTGCAACATAACTTGCTTTTGTTTTAAAGGTTACAGGGTCTGCTATGATGTTCCTGAACCCAAATCTTGCATTTAGCTCACAATAATCGATGTCTCCGTTTTTACACAAGTCAATGTATGCCATGCCATTAAATGTGAGACTCTGTAGATGCCCAATAAAATTAGAAGGCACAGAAGACAGGTAGCGCCGTTCTGTTATTATTCCTGTTTCTATGTTGTGGAATTCCAGTCGTGTGTGGTCACCAGCCATTTGACCTTTAAATAGTAACAAGAAAACACGTGTTAGCATCTGAAATGGGAGGTCAAAAAGCACATCATGTGATTAAGTATCTGCATAAATTTCACACTTTTCAGAATGTGCAAGGCCAAATCTTGGCTCCAATCATCCAAATTATTGGTAAATCTAGGAGCCTCGGCACTGAGTTCAGTATGTTTGGATAAGGTCAACAGTAAGATTTCTAAACTGAAACACAATACCACAGTATATTGAACTGCCAACAAAATCCCTTACTTTGGTTACACTTTACCAGAGGTGGGGTTTTACTATAAGCAAGTGCAGTTACTCAACATGAAGACCACAAAGGCCAACCTCAGAGCTAAACCAGCAATATTAGAGCCTCATGAAAGAGAGACATAAAAGTTTGAGGGATATTATTCCATGTGGTTTGCTTAAAAGTGTATGATTTGGCTAGAGGCAGGAATGATTCCTGTTTCAGTTGTCTTAGGTACATAAATGCTGGCTCTGCTGCAAACCCCTGTGGTGCAAGGGTGGACAGTTACTTGAGAGCAACTAAGCTTTGTACCGTGGGGATAAACCATGGGAGAAGGGGCAAGGCCCAAGAGATGGGCAGAGCAGAAAGTCTGTAGCAAGGGTGTAAGTCAGCGTCTTGTAATCCTGAAAATAACAAGGGACTTGCTCACATCAGAAAGGTGGTCAAAAGGAAGCACCACAGATGCTTTTGAGTCTTTCTTTGTCATGCAAGGACCCCTGCAGAGTAAAAAGACTGAAATTTGCTGACCCTATAGCTAATCTGAAGGAAAAGATCAACACTGTCAGGATACACTGCATAAAGGTCAGGTAAGTTTTTAATCTAGTTATTAAATATTTTTCTCAGCACATCAAAAATTTCTCCACTGAAGAGAGCTCTTTTCTAACAGAACTTATTTTTTTTCCATGCTTATTTTGAAGAATTAGGGCAGTATTATCACAAGGCTGATTCATGGTCACATTGTGTGGGTATGGTGACAAAACAGCTTTTTATTACTAATTGATTTCACCACTTAATGTACCTTTTGCAAATCATGCCCTAGATTTCCCAGTTCCTTAACTGTTTCATGTCTCTCATGGTACAGAGAAGGTGAAGAGCAGACCTATCCAACCTGGACTTAATGCTGGCATAAAACTTCAGTTCTCACAGTGGCTCTGCAAAGCTGTTGGCAAGACAAGTTCCCTCTGTCCCTCCCTAAACATACAATTCCAAGAGAAGAATGTGAGCTCTGACCCAGGCTGGACACATTCATCAGTGATGCAGAAACCCTGGTGGCAGTCTTACACAGCTGTACCTTCATAGCTTTCATAAGCAAATGTCTGTGTACGTGTGTGTGAACAGGGAAAAGACAAGGTAAAGATAAATGTAGATATTTGGGCTTTGCCCAGGGAGATGAATTCACAAACAGGTTAAGTCACAACACTTACAAGTACAGGAATCAGTGAAATTACAGTGAAAACAGCTCTGCAAGTTTTAACACCATTCAGACCACACATGCACAAAAATTGCTTTAAAAATTTATGATCAATATTTACAAGTAGTTTACTTAGCTTCAGGATGAGTTCTATATGAGAACTTATTCTATGGATGTCATTAAACACCATCACTGTCTGGGATCTGTACTCATGGCAGTGCACTGCAAGAGACACCTTAAACCCCAAGGACAGTTGCCTTGATGTTGTTGTTTCTAAACATCGGTTCTGAAAATACTGCCTTCCCTGATGTATTAAGCAAAAGCTGGTTCTTCCTTGCAGTAATGAGTCAGGGAGCTGCCTTGAAAAATGCCAAATCGGTAATTTTTGCAAGGACAAGAGCTGTATGTTGGTTCACAGCCAAAGAACTGAGGATCGTGTTTTAGAGGGTAACATTATGTATTCCAGCCTTATATCAATTCAGATGGCATTTCATTAATGTCATGGCAAAAATCCACTAAGTTTTGGCCTGTAGCACAGTATCCCCACTACATTAAATGTATTTCTTTCTTGAGCATAGTAATAAAAAGTTCCAGAATCTGGATCTCAAGTTTCCCTCTAATATTTCAGTTCTTCAAACACTCTAACAGGACTTGAGACTCCACATAGTGCTTCATGGGATTTGCAAATACAGTAATGAAGAAAAAGAGACAGTGCAGTTTGTACTTACAAGGTTGGACATTTGGGGTTTTGTGTAGGGTTTTTTTGATGGGGTTTGGTTGTTTTGGGTTTTGTTTGTTTGTTTGTTTCTTGGTTTTTTTTTTTAAACTTACCAAGTTCATGTACAAAATGCACTACGTGCTGCAATGCTATGGGACATAATACAACAGGCCAATAGAATTTCTGTTCATAACCATAAGCTAGGTGTCTATTCTGTTATCCAACTTTGGTGACCTCCATCAATTCACTTCTGTTTTCTGTACATTTTCAGAAAACAAAGTGTATCAGGACTGCAAGTATTTAAACTCTTTTATGATGAGCAAAATCTCTGAAACCATCTGCATGATTTCCAATGAAAGCTAGTTATGATTCTGTGTTATATTATTTATCCATGCACACATTATGCATTTGTCAAAGATAAGTAAGCTCAATTCATGGATGAATAATCGATATTTTATAATCTGTAAAAACTGGAAAGTCAGGTTGAATTATTTAATGACTTCATCTTAAGCTTTCTGGATCTGATGCATTTGGTGTTTGTTTTTTTTTTCATGTATGACATAGGAAAGGAATCAAAAAAGGAAAACACAATGTGTGGTAGGGGGAAGCTGGAATTTTCAGTAGGAAGTCAATTTTCTTCCTTATTCTCCTAATAACATCATAGTAACCTTTCATATGAGATATAAATGGGTTATATTTTAACCAAATTTCTGATTGTTGGGACACCTGAAGAAAAGTTCTAAGCAGTTTAGAGCAAGCACGCTCCAATCTGATATGGCAACTCTTACCCTGTGCTTTCAGGAAATTCAGAGCTACTACACATTAAATTCTATTGAAACTATCTGAAATTTAAACTTGCAACTTTGAAAATACTCACCGTTGAAAAAACAACAACAAACCCCAAAAGCAAACAAACAAACAAAATCCAAAAAACACCCCACACAAACGAAATTAAAAAAAATCACAGTCCTTAGATGACAATAAAGATTTTATCTGTAGAAAATGTGATATTCCTGGGACTAACAGTGTTTTCCCCCGTTACCAGACTCTGAAGTTCCCTCTGTTCCTTCTCTTATGCCAGTTCTCTCATCAGTGGCGGAGGAGGCCACAGATTGGCTACACAGTTTCCTGCAGGGAGTTTAGGAAGCTCAGGAAGACTTTCCCTCCAAAATACTGGGGTAACTTTCTCCCTTTGGATGAACAACATTAAACATCTGTGAATTATGCAAACGTAGGCAACTTCCAGCTTGAAGAACTGAGAGGGATTTCAAGTCAACTGTCTAGTTTCTGATACAGATACTGGGATGTGAGAAGAATACAAGTGTTGTACCAGAAATCTGGACCCACAGGCAACACTTCTGATTGATCAGGAGGCAACTGAAAGGACTCACTTGCTTTGGCAGATAATAGAATAGAATAGAATAGAATAATTTCAGTTGGAAGAGACCTACAGTGGTCACCTAGTCCAGCTACCTGATTGCTTCACAGCTGACCAGAAGTTAAAGCATGTTATCAAGAGCATTATTGAAATGCCTCTTAAACACTGACAGGCTTAGGGCACCAACCACCTCTCTAGGAATCCTGTTCCAGTGTTTCAGCTATTTGCTAATACCATGATATTTGATAGAACCTATAGTTATCCACAATGAAGAGGGACGACAAGAACTTAGTCCTGCATTCTGTACTTATTACTTTACCTGACTAGACTCTATATGATTGAAACCTCCTTAATCCTTCATTTATATTTTGAACTTTTATGAAGCTGCACTGAACAGTCGGGACTGAACCCAAAGGTGAAAATAGTACTTCTTGGTGGTTTCCTAACCTGTAGTATTTGTAAATTAGAAATCTGCCATGAGAAATCCAGGAATTGTGCATTTGGATCTTGATGCAAGATCTAAATATCTTGGTTATATATAAGGCATATATTAGAATATGCCTTATTATTTGAGTGGCAGTTGAAGTAGCAAGTTTATAATATTTTTCAGTACACTTACTCCAAAGTGTACATAAATTTAAATTTATATATTTATATATAAATTTATAACTATAAATTTAATTTCAAAAAGAAAGTAAATTATTTAGGCCACCTACAGTCTTGGGAGAATGACCCTAAGCATCATCACATACACAGACTTCATCTCTGGAAGATCTATTGGTAATTTTTGATTCTAGGAAATATATTCTTGCAACTATTGAATACATAAAAATTATTTTTCTACCAGTGACATGGTCTTCAGTGTTCTGTTGAGTTGAAAAGGGAATATTAATGAAGGTGCACTCCTTTTAAAAACCCACTTAAATTGTTATCATTTTAACAAAGCTTAGAACCAATGATAAAAGCTATTTAATGCTACCCAAAACCAAAGGAAAATATTAAATAGTTAACACAAAATTAGGTACATTGCATTGTGCAAGGAATGAGGGTCAGAAGCCAGGTCTGTTGCTATTAATAACACATATGTAAGCGTTAACTTTTTACAGAACAAAATCAATGTGTTCTCTATTACCCTTTCTGATAACACATACATACAAATATATTTCTAACATCTGCTGGCATGCATGTAATTTTTTCTCCCATGCCAACTGCTATTTTTAGTATTTGTTGCCTAATATTTAATTATTGAGGACAGCTGATGCAAGATTTAAAACACAATAGAATATCCTTCAAACATTTATTATATTCTTTCTTACAGCAATGGCTTAGAGTTCAGCTCTAACAATGTGTTGGCAAAAGCATTTTACTTGCCTTCTCATTAGCGATGTATCAAATCACTTCTCCCCAATTACTGTATAAAAACATTCATTTAAGTCAGCACGAAGGTTTTCATTAATTTCAATAGCAACCTTAGAGCAACATTAATATCAAGTGTAATAACACACTTGTTGTAACAGTATTTCAAGACGCATAACATGGCTTTTGAATCCTACCCAAGAAAAGCAAAAATCACCTGTTGCTTTCAGACAAAGTCATTTTACTTCTGCTATTTTTTGTTCTGTGTTTCCCCCCAGTAACACGGAGTCACAGTGACACACTACCTGTCACGGCCTGCTGGTCATCCACCATTAACTTTAAACTTTTTCCTCGCCGAACCACACGCACTGTGTGCCACTCATTATCATTGAGGTTATAGCCAGCAAAAAGGGTTTCTGGACCTTTGCCTGTAGGATATGCCAAACAGTCATTATGCAATCTTTAAATCAGTTTACATGTGAACCTCACAGAGAGAGAAGACAGAGAGACTCGCTGGGCAAATGTTAAAACTCACCAAAAGTCACACCAAGCAAGAAAATTACCAAGTATAAGCAAAACTCAGATATAGAACTACTACATTAAAACACTGTTAATGTATATTAAACTATGTAAATGCACTTTATATGCACCAGGTTTTCATAAATAGGCACAGTCAACACATATTTAATTGTGCACTTTTCAAAAATATACAGGCCTTTAAGAAATGGGATTACTGAGCAAAAAGAACTTCAGCACGCATTTACAAGACTGATTTTTTTTCCTTCTTTAAACATTATTTTGTGGAAAATAACAAGTGGTAAATGTGTGTGCATGTGTGTTATATTTTTCCTAATTTATGTCAACTTCTCTCTTCATTTAGGCTCTGTTTGTTTATTAGGACTTCTCAGAACGTCATCTATTACCTGATCATCTAGATGACTTGCTAATATTCAGGTCCAGTACCTTCTTATGTTAGCAGAGCTTTGAACCATACTTTCCTTTTTCATTTAATGGATACCTTTTTTGTAATCTGCTATTTTTGTCATTAGTACATAAAACATTTTTGAAGCAAATTCTATGTATGGCACAATGTATTTGCAATAACCAAAGTATTCACAAACCTAGGATATCTTTAATGCCTAGGAAAAATTTTCTCGTAAGAAAAGGATAGTGGAAATTGTCACTTGCACTGTTGACCAAGAAGAGAAAGAGAAAAAGAAAAATTCTGATTTTGAACTGTCATTGATATGAATAAGTGATTGAAAGAGTACTGAATGAATGAATCAAAAATTATATGCTGGCTGTCCAAAACGTAAAGTTAATCTGCAATTAACAAATTACATTCTTGTAAAATACAGATGTCCCTGGTTTGTTTTTCAGTTCCTGTGGCAGAATAAATGCTGCTGATAACTAAAATTTGCCAATTAATTTCTGATCTCCTCGTACGAGAGAGGTGGAGGTTCTGGAGTGTGTCCAGCAGAGGGCAACAAGAACAATTGGTGGACTGGAGCATCTCTCTTATGAGGAAAGACTGAGGGAGCTGGGCCTGTTCAGCCTCCCAAAGAGATGACTGAGAGGGGACCACATTAATGCACTTAAGTATCTGAAGGATGGGTGTCAAGCAGCTGGAGCCAGGGGCTTCTCAGCAGTGCAAAGCAATAGGACAAGAGGTAGTGGGCACAAACTATTGCACAGGAAGTTCCAGCTGAATATGAGGAAGAACTTCTTCACTTTGTGGGTGACCACACATTGGAACAGATTGCCCAGGGAGGTTGTAGAGTCTCCCTCACCAGAGATATTCGAGAACCATATGGACACAATCCTATGCAATGTCCTCTACAATGACACAGCTTGAGCAGGAAGGTTTGACCAGATGACCCCACTGTGGTCCCTTCCAAGCTTACCCATTCTGTGATTCTGTAAAAGAGGCACATCATAAAATCACTTTTGGCACAAAAACATTATGGTTACCCTTAGTCAGACATTATCTCCACTGTGTCTCTTCCAGGTGACTATACCCCATGTGTCAATCTTCCTTTGAAAGGGATATGCCACTAGCTCTGAAATTGGTCACATTTCAACTTAGATTCTTTTCCAGTCAGCACAGGCTAACTGTGATGGGGGAGGTCTGTTCATAAATGGGTATTATATGACATTATATAAAATCAAAGCCTCTCTGACTTCAGGACTGCACAGAGGGAAAAGGACACAAAGAGCTTGATGCAGCTGTCCAGCGCACTGGACAGTTTTCATCTCAGATGTTTTCCATTTTATATCAGCATTTTAAAATTCCTGCTGGTTTGTTGTCCTGCTTTTATATGCAACTTTTGCTATTTTGAGCATGCCAAGGGATCTCCAGGAACAAAAACATTAGCTACAGCACAGGTAGTGAGATTCTGATACTGTTTCTCTATGTCTCTGTATTGACACTAAGGTAGGAAAGGTGTTTGAACCCACCAGAAGGAGATGATTGGTGTCAACTACCTGAATCATTCTGTTCCTCACATGTTTACTTTTTCTGACAAAACAAAGACCAGTTTTTGCATAAAGCTTAAGTAAATAATGTTCTCTTTGAAAGTGGTGATACAGATCTCTTAAGCAATTTCTATTATTGTATTAGGTGCTTCAATGGAAGCAATTGTTAACTAGCAATGGATGAATTTACAAAAAATGCTTAGATGACATGAGCAAAATACTTAGTGAGAGTCAATAGGCCTGCCTAGAAATACATCATTTAGTAGTATTGTAAATATATTTGCACTTCTTCACTTGTTAGTCCAACTCTTTTTTTTTTTTTAATTTTTAAAGTAATTGAACTGCTCAGTCTACCTTATCTCACTTCAGATTTCTAAAAGACCTAAAAGCATATGCAATTTTAATTTACTCTCACATTAAGAACCCTCTGTAGGGTCCCATTTGTGTGAAGTTGCCTTGGTGTATATAAATATCAAATCCAATTTGGCTGCTCACATTTATACAAGCAAATATATCTATTAACTTTTAATGGCTAGGGACTTGAAAACTCTTCCTGTTGTAAAATTAAATGTATGTTTTCCTATGCATCAGTCTATTTTCCTTGTAAGAGTACTCTGAGTAAGAAAAATCAGGTCAGAACTACTTGTAAGCTGCCTGTTCACACCGCACGCAATCCAAAAGAGGATTAATGGGACCTATGGTGAAAGGGTTATAAAAAGGACAAACCTGGATATAACATGCTATGGGAACAGTGCATTGAAATCAGTCCTGGCCTTGTGCAAACTAGCTACCTCACATGGAAGAGACTTTTCTTTCCTGAAGCTGATCTCTAACATAGAAGGGCTTTTCCTTTGTCGTAGAGAGGACAGGAAACTACCAAAAAGCAAGATGCAGTGCCCAGGTATTGTGCATCTACCTATCCCATCATACTCCACCTCTGTAAAGTAGTATAGTTTTCCATGGCAGCTGGAGAGGTAGATGAGGAAGGATGGATGCTCACCATTCCTGTGCAAATGCAGTGCTTGGGCTGCTTCCTGGCCAAGAATATACTTTTGCATATAAGAGCAGCAAATGTGCTTTTGAGCAGAGTATTTAGGAGAAAATTATCTAAATACTTAAACATAAAAACCTGTAGGAATCCCTTGAGACCCCCCAAGAGTACCAGGACTGCAGAAGAAGACTCTTAACACATCTTGTTAAATGGTGTTGGCCAACCTCAAAGCTAGTTTATATTAGTTCTTTCTTCACTAACTTTCAAATATATTGACCCGAAACTAATTTAAACATCATATTACTGAGATCATAACCATTCAGAGTCTTCTTCTGTCCTGGTTTATAGTTCTCTACTTTATAGTGAATCTACTATAAATTTATATTTAGTAAATCATTGACTCTCCAGTCTTATTCTGACTTTACACTGATCTGATTCCATTTCATTTAAATCACACCAGCAGAAAGTGCTCTTAAATAAGCGTATTTAAATAAAAATTGGCATATTGCCACCTTTTTTTTTTTTTTTTGGCAGGTGGCTGTTCTGGGCTTTTCAAAAAAAAAAAAAAATTCAATATCTCCCACAAAAAGAAAAGCAAGAATCCCAATTAAAAACAAAAAGTAATTTTTTTTTCTCATGGACTGATACTACTCTTCCAAACTTATGTCCCTCTGCTTCTATTTCCCACGCTGTCCTTCACCTGGAATTCATCTGTTTCTTTCTAGACAGGTCAGGGTTAATTTGCTTCAAGTATCCAGCCAGCCCTGGTTCACATTCTGAGCTACTGATTCTCTCAGATACTAATATCTCATTCATAAACCTTTCCTTTCTGAGACAAGATGCAAACTGGAAAAAAAAAATCCACTAAGTATCTCCTCTAAGTACCTCCTTTCATACTTAAGTATGAAATTTATTATCAACGTCTGTGTTCAGCTCTTTTCTTGTTTTTAAGGCTTAAATAACTACTAGATTTAATGTGTCCCTAGAGCAAATGGATAGTACCAAATAAAAAACTACTGGCACTTTTATGGCTATCATAGTTTGCTCATAGTCCATCATGCCAGTAAATTTGCACATCCATTTAAAAGCATATAATTGCTTGTACCACCATCCTTTTACACAGCAAAATGCAGACTGTGCAGTCAGTTGATACAGGTACAAATCTTGATGTCATAGTTCATTATGAACTAGGACATATAAATGTAAAGTCCTAAAAATTCCAAGTTTTAGGTTTACTGAGGCACCCAAAGTTGAGTTTACTTTGTTGTCAGTGTCTCAGTTGGAAGTTAACTGTCTTTGGTCCTTTTCAAAGTTAAAGGAAAAAAGTATGAACTTCCAACACAAAAAATCTTATTTTCAGTGTGCTGAACCTGCTAAATGTTCTCTGGAGATTTCTGTTCTCTACTATCTTGTCAGGAGCCTATTCAGCCTAATTCAAGTACTGAATCAGTCGATTAATGGTGATATGCATATTTTTTTCTCTAATATATATCTATCCCGTGGTGCTTTCATTTTAACCAACTATTTAAACAGAACTTCATAAAAAAACCAACTGATGCTTTTGAAAGGAGGTACCAGCTTTTGGCATTGCACCAAAACACTCAAATCTAGTTTTCTGAACCAAACACCCAAATCATTATTGGTTCTTACAATGCCACCCACCACTACCAAGGCCCATACCAAAATCCTTGGGGCATTCAAATCTGCAATCAAGAGTAGATATTAAAAATGAAGTATAGAAAGAAGGATAAATTAAATAGAGACTAGCAATGGAGACTGGATGGTTCAGTGAATGCTGTACTAACCTATGGAACCCAAGTTAGATGCAGGCAAGTCACGACTATCTGTTTATCGGTCAGCATAAGAAAGATCAGTGGTTTCAGCCTAGTTTGCTCACAGAAAACTATGAATACTACAGCTATCAATATCAGGTGGGATTTAGGCAAAAAGACATTTGGACAA